AATTGATTCAGTATTCAGTATTTAGAAAGCGGTGTACAAGTATTGTACTAAAATAATAATTTCAGACCTTGAAAAAAATGAACTCCACAAATATCAAAAAGATTATAATCAAATGCATTTAATGAAACAAATATTGTGACTTACATTTACAATTCTTTAACATCCATTTTAGGACGTTAGGTGTATCGAGTGTGTCCTAATCCACAACTTTCCGACAATGTTTAACGTGATTCAATTTTTTTTGTGCTAATATTCTTGGGAATCTAAGTTGACTTGCCGTCACATTATAATATAGGCAACTAACTAGCACTGCCTTAAATTTTTTCTTTCTTTTGTAAAAAAAACACATTAAATACGATGCTTACGAAAATTAGAGATAACCCTTAAATACCCTGTTATCTAATTAATTATTAATTAACTGAGGATACATTTTTTTTTCACAGGCAACTATAACAAGTGTGGTTACACATAATGACTACATAACATCAGCAAACCCTTTGCTTCTTGGACATGTTTATATCTGGGGAGTTGGTAAAGATCCTATTACATCTGTAACAGTTACATACAATGGTGTTCAGGAAACTATTACACACTTTACAGCAGTAAATGAGGTATGTATGAATGGTCTGCGACTATTTAGTTGTATTGGTAAAAAGCCAATTGAACAATGTAATTACAGAGAGATAAGTAAAGATTTAATACACTCAATGGGCTATTATGCACCAGTTAAGTGCATGTTACCAAAAAAAAAAAAAAAGATAGTATATTTTTACAGTTCATCATGTTAGGTTAACAATGTGTGTTCAAATTGCTGCAGGTTAGGAGTATTTGCAAATTTTAAATATGTTTACAATACCATTTGCAATCAGTGTGTGGATGCAAGTCATGCGATTTCATGTTATTTTGGGTTATACCTAGCATGTGATGTAACAATTCCGTTATGCACAATTTTGTTTATCTGTATGTGTGACAAGAAAAAATGCAGCATAGAGGTGGAGTTAAGATCAGTGAAGAGGACAAAAGGACAGAGAATGAAAAAAGTGGGAGAGAAAGAGGAAATATCAAAAAGAGTGAAACATGGTGACCAGAGAAGGAAGCAAGAGGGAAGAGATATGAAAGAAGTAGCAAAAAGCAAAAGAGGAGAAAAATAGGAATAGTGAAAAAAAAGAGGAGGCCAACACATTATTATTATTATTATTATTATTGGTATTTATTTAGCGCCAACTAATTCTGCAGCACTTTACAATATTATGAAGGGGGGGGGAAGGTGATTTACAATAAATGAGACACTTACAAAAAGATACAGGAACAATAAGTAGATGAGGACCCTGCTCAAATGAGCTTACAGTCTAGAGGAGGCGCGGTATAAATACACAACAGGGCAGGAAGGGTGACAGCCACCAAATAAGGTGGAAAAGTAGCATAACTGGTGAGAGTGGACTGTAGCTCTTTAGGAGAGTAAGAGGCAGATTATAGATATAGATAAGTTACTCTGGGAGTCCATAAGTATTTCTGAACAGATGTATTTTGAGGGACTTTTTAAACACTTGAATACTAGACGAGAGTCTGATGGGGGTAGGCTGTTCCAAAGGAAGGGAGCCGCCCACAAGAAGTCCTGCAAGCACAGTAAGGGTGCGAGCAGTGGACAGGAGAAGGTCACAAGAAGAGTGGAGAGACCGAGAATGGGCATATTTATGAATCAGTGAAGAAATGTAAGAGGGGCTAGAATTGGTTAGAGCTTTATAGGTAAGTTGAAGTGACCCCTATAGGATACAGGAAGCCAGTGTAAGGTTCGACAGAAGGTTGAGGAATGGGAGGAGCAACCGGTGAGAAAGATCAGCCTGGCAGCATTCATTACTGATTGTAGCACTTTGGCTTCTGAGAGATTACCAGAGCATGAACAAGCTCCATGGCAGCATCTTACGTGAGAATGGGGTGGATGCAGGCAATGTTTTTAAGGTGGAATCGACAAGTTTGAAACCATTAACATGCATCAAAAGTGTCACTATACTAGCAGTGAAGTACTATTCACTGGCTCTTAGTTTGTTTTTCATTAGTAATTTGTTAAACTCTTAACATTTCTTATGAGGTTTTACATAGTATATATGGAGTATAGCTTCCTTGTTAAGAATGATAAGCTGTAGAAAGCTTAGGAAAGTCAAATAAAAATGCAAACTCTATATTTAGAAATTAACCAGTATTAGACAAATTAAATATACAGTGAGGGGGAAAAGTATTTGATCCCCTCCTGATTTTTAACATTTGCCCACTGACAAATGATCAGTCTATAATTTTAATGTTAGGTGTATTTTAACAGTGAGAGACAGAATAACAAAAAAAAATCCAGAAAAATGCATGTCAAAAAAGTTATAAATTGATTTGCATGTCAAGAAGTATTTGACCCCTTCGACTTAGTATTTGGTGGCAAAACCCTCATTGGCAATCAGAGGTCAGATTCTTCTTGTAGTTGTCCACCAGGTTTTCACACATCTCAGGAGGGATTTTGTCCCACTCATCTTTGCAGATCCTCTCCAAGTCATTAAGATTTAGAGGCTGACGTTTGTCAATTTGAACCTTCAGCTCCCTTCACATATTTTTTTATGGGATTCAGGTCTCCAGGACCTTAATGTGCTTCTTCTTGAGCCACTCCTTTGTTGCCTTGGCTGTCTGTTTTGGGTCATTGTCATGCAATCCGCGACCAATTTTAGATGCCCTGGCTGAGGGAAGGAGGTTCTAACCGAAGATTTGACGGTACATGGCCCCATCCATTGTCCCTTTGATGTGGTGCAGTTGTGCTGTCCCCTTAGCAGAAAAACACCCCAAAGCATAATGTTTCCACCTCTATGTTTAAAGGTGGGGATGGTGTTCTTGGGGTCATAGGCAGCATTCCTCCTTCTTCAAACACTGTGACTTGAGTTGTTGCCAAAGAGGTTGATTTTGGTCTCATCTGACCACAACACTTTCACCCAGTTCTCCTCTGAATCATTAAGATGTTAATTGGCAAACTTAAAACAATCCTGTACATGTGCTTTCTTGAGCAGGGGAACCTTGTGGGTGCTGCAGGATTTCAGTCCTTCACGGCGTAATGTGTTACCAATTGTTTTCTTGGTGACTATGGTCCCAGCTGCTTTGAGATCATTAACAAGATCCCCCTGTGTAGTTCTGGGCTGATTCCTCACCAATCTCATGATCATTAAAACTCTACGAGGTGAGATCTTGCATTGAGCACTTGACTGAGGGAGACCGACAGTTATTTTGTGTTTCTTCCATTTGCGAATATTCACACTGACTGTTGTCACCTTCTCACCAAGCTCTTTGGCGATGGTCTTGTAGCCCTTCCCAGCCTTGTACAGGTCTACAATTTTGGCCTTGACATCCTTGGACAGCTCTTTGGTCTTGGCAATGGTGGAGAGTTTGGAATCTGATTGATTGCTTCAGTGGACAGGTGTCTTTTATATTGGTAACAAGCTGAGTTTAGGAGCACTCCCTTTAAGATAGTGCTCCTAGTCTTAGCTCGTTACCTGTATAACAGACACCTGGGAGCCAGAAATCTTGCTGATTGATAGGGGATCAATTACTTATTTCACTAATTGACGTGCAAATCAATGTATACCTTTTTTGACATGTGTTCTGGATTTTTTTTGTTATTCTGTCTCTCACTGTTAAAATACACCTACCATTAAAATTAAAGACTGATAATTTCTTTGTCAGTAGACAAACGTTCAAAATCAGCAGGTGATCAAATACCTTTTTCCCTCACTGGACATGTGTATTTATATAACATATGTGTACATAAAATATAATTGAATTCTTCTAACATTAATTTTTCTTTTTTATTTTCTTTCAGGTTCTTGAAATCCACCTTGTTAATAAACATTATAATTTAGGAGAATCAATTACAGTTACATGGCAAGCTTGATGTGTTGATTTGTATTTAGAAAATCTTGAATTGTATGACTGTAATCTTGACTTTTATATTACTTTTATGTTTTTTGCAATATTAAAAAAGTCATCATTATCTGTTCTATGAGAAACATTACGCATTGCTTAACTTTGCTGGTGAAATGTCAATAAACAGAATTAACAATACATGGTTTCAGTGTTATTCAAGATAAATATGTCAAATGTTAATTTACATCTTTGGTAAACGCTCACACTTTATAGTTGATGCATGAGATATAAACAGCAGTAAGTGTTTCAAAAATATTGAGGATTTAGAAAAAATCTATAAAATATCTACTAAAAGCTAGTTATTGTTACATAGAAACATAAAATGTGACGGTAGACATCAACCATTCGGCCCATCTTTATATTTTAGTGGATCTAATTAGAGTTGAGCGGACACCTGGATGTTCGGGTCCGGCTGGTTCGGCCAAACTTTGAAAAAAAGTTAGGGTTCGGGTTCGAAAATGCCCCCGAACTTGACCCCCGAACCTCTTTGAAGTCAATGGGGACCCAAACTTTTGGCCACAAAAATGCCTATAAAAAACTCCTGGAAAGAGCTATAGAGCTGCAAAGGGAAGTAAAATGGGGGAAAGAGTAGGACAAGTGCCCTGCGAACAAATGTGGATAGGGAAATCACTTAAAATAACAAAATATACCTAAAAATTTAAAATACAGCTGAGCCATAAAATAGCATTAGATGGAATATTTGATTTTAGCTTTGGAAGAACATAAATCAATGTTGCTATTGTGTACATAGTTTATACGAAGTGACCTATAGGTTGAGGAGGCGGTGAACGTGGCGGTGTAGGTGGAAGCGGCGGTGGAGGAGGAGGTAGCCAAAACTGTTTTTTATGTACTTTTATTTTTTTTTATTTTGGTAGCCCACAAAATATTGGGACATACAAAAAAAGAAACATTTGCGGCCTGTAGTGCATTTCTTGCAGTCCTGATACATGGAGAAATACTCAACTCCTGATGCATGGAGAAAAGGCCTTCACAAGCTTCTGCTAATGTGTACCTAGTTTATACTAAGTGACCCATAGGTTGAGGAGGCGGTGAACGTGGTGGTGTAGGTTGAAGCAGCGGAGGAGGAGGAGGATGAGGTAGCTAACACTGTTTTATATATATATATATATTTTTATTTGGGGTAGCCCCCAAAATATTGGAACATATATAAAAAGACAACCCTGTTCCACAGAGTAGCTGTTGACATTATGGTTGCGCAGGCACTTTGTTGACTCTGGAGAACCTCGGGCCAATCGCACATCCCCGTGGTGGTGACTTTGCATGCGGATGTCATCCATATAAACTTTCGATGCCAGTTTCTGCGCCTACCATGGTGACCACAGGTAACGGGGAATCAGGGTTCCATTCCGTACAGGGTCCCTGAGAAACGGCTACCACATGCAAGGAAGGCAGCAGGCGTGCAAATGACCCACTCCTGACGCGGGAAGGTAGTGACTACAAATAACAATACAGGACTCTTTAGAGTCCACTAAAAATCCTTTAACTCTGATCAATTGGAGGGAAGTCTTGTGCAGAGCCACTGACCCGTGCGTGCTGCAGCTGAAACTCCACTATCGCCTGCTGCTGCTCGCACAGTCTCATGAGGCGGTGAGCGGGAAGGCCTAAGTTACACAGCAGCGCAGACAGGCGAGCAGCAGCAGGGTGAGAACACCAAAAGCGCACCCAGCCGCTACAGTGAATGTCACATCCTGTTCCAAGTTGCGGATCAGTCTGGTGATGGCTTTGGTGATGGTATCCAGTACTCTTTTTACTGAAGCTGCATCAGGGTCCTGGTATGAGGCTGCACAAACGCTGGTGCTCATCACCAGGGGGCGTGTGGTTACCTTGCACCAGACCCTGCTAATCCACCTGACTGTGAAACTATGAATGGATCGTTAAATCTGGTACGAACCCAAACTTTGCAGTACGGGTTCGCTCAACTCTATGGATCCTTTGATCGCTACATGTATTACTTAGATGACTGGTAATTCTCGAGCTAATACATGCCGACGAGCGCTAGGGGATGGCCGCTCCGCTTTTGCACCCTGCTCCCTCTTATGCTGTGCTGGTGCCTCTGTGTGACCAGTGTCTCTTCCTCCAAACTGCACACGTCACTCGCCTGACCTTGATTCCATGTGGGGTCTAGGACCTCATCATCCTCCACATTATCTTCCACCCACTCCTCAACCCTGCCCTCCTTGCCAGTATGCACACTGCAGAAAGCCACAGCAGTTGGCAACTGTGTTTTTCCAGCATGTAAAGTCTGCAAAGGACACATGGAAATTGTTTTAGAATTGTATCCAGGCAACAGTTTTCCCTATAAACTGACCTCTCAGTTTGACTTGTGAGGCTATTGCCCCAGAATTAAAATATTGTTGAAGTACCTCTTAGCTATTGATAACTGGTTTAAATATAGCAACTTGTTATCTGGTAGTTTCTAGTTTAGAAAATATCAATCTGTTTTCTATCGATCTGTGTAACAAGTGTTGTAGGTGTGAAACAATATTACAAGTGACCGATGTAGTAAATTCGAATCAAAGTTACCCTTCGATTTGAATCTCAGATATGAATTGAACACCCCAAATATACTATTTCGCACCAAAAAAAAAAATTTGACTTTTTAAAACTCCAATGTAAGCAGCAGATAAGCAGCAAAACAATTCAATTTTTTCCAACTGCGCAGTAAGCGCACTATTTGACGCTTCGATTTGACTCTCAGATATGAAGTGCACCGCAGGCCGCAAATGTACTATTTTGCAGATTATTAGCAAAACAATTAGAATGTTTACAACTCCGCAGTAAGCACACAATTAGACACTTCTATTTGACTCTCAGATATGAAGAGCAGGCCACAAAATTTACTATTTTGCAGATTAACACCCAGAAAATAAGAATGTTTACCACTGTGCTGTATGCACACTATTAGACGCTTCGATTTGACTCTTAAATATGAACTGCACCGCAGGCCACAAAATGTACTATTTAGCAGATTAGCTCAAAGAAAATTCGAATTTTTACAACTGCACTGTAAGCACACTATTAGACGCTTCTATTTGACTCTCAGATATGAAGTGCACGCCCCAAAATGTACTATTTAGCAGATTAGCACCCAGAAAATAAGAATTTTTACAACTGCGCTGTAAACACACTATTAGACGCTTTGATTTGACTCTCAGATATGAAGTGCACCACAGGCCCCAAAATGTACTATTTCGCAGATTAGCACCCAGAAAATTAGAATTTTTACAACTGCGCTGTAAGCACACTATTAGACGCTTCAATTTGACTCTCAGATATGAAGTGCACCCCACTAAAATACTATTTAGCACCCCAAAAAAATTAAGTTTTAAAACTGCAATGTGAGAGCAGTATTTGACGATTCTATTTGACTCTCAGATATGAAGTGCACCCCACTAATGTACTATCCCACTAATGTACTATTTAGCACCAAAAGAAATTGACTTTTTAAAACTCCATTGTAACCGTGGTATTTGAAGCTTCTATTTGACTCTCAGATATGAAGTGCACCACAACCTTCTAATGTACTAGTTTGCAGAATTCTTTGCTAAGTTGTCCCTATCAGCGCCAGCATCCTCTCCCTACACTAATAAGACCACATGTACGTGCGGCGCTACGTGACTTCAGCTTATATATAGAGGCTGGGTCACATGCTGCACTGGCCAATCACAGCCATGCCATTAGTAGGCATGATTGTGATGGCTTCTAAGGGCACACGAGTAAAACGCTTGTTGATTGGCTGCCCTGCAGCCTTTGAAATGGCACCATTAAATCGCTGAACACCGAACTCCAACCCGAACATACAGTAATATGTCCTTGTTCGGGTCCGGGGTCCAAAAAACCTAATGTTCGGTACGAACACGAACTTTACAGTCCGGGTTCACTCAACTCTAGATCTAATCTGACTTGCTAATAACAGCTTTATAAATAATGACTGATCAACTGTTCTAAAATGTAATTTTAATATGTTTAAAAAAGACATATAGACTGAAAATGGAAACATTTACTGGCCATTTGTATACATAGTATTTTATACATGTAATTTTTCACATAACTTGGCCTTACATCACTATATAGAGTTGGTAAGCTGTATAACATCTACTGTATCTACTGTATAGCATTAGCTCAAACATTTTGTTCTGCAAATAACATTGCGGAGGTAAAAATAAATGATTGTCTTACAATCAGGCCTAATCTATGCTTTCGTTTTTTGATCTCACAACGTTGAACTTCATGGGCCAGGATTTCAAGATTAACACCAACATAAAGGCTTGTGCTTTTGCTTGATTTTCAGCTACAACACGAATTAACAAAGATCACAGACAGAAAATTGCATCAACAGGTTTGTCATTACACTATGTTCCATGTGGTCATTGCAGTATAGGTGTGTTTCTTTAAAGAACCTCAAACAAATCGTTTTAGTTATTGTGCACATATGTATTGATTGTTATCAATTTTGCTACATTATATTTTTTATTTACATTGCTTATTTATTCTTAGTTAAAATTGCTTGTATACTACATCAAGTCAAGGGAAAGGTTTGTTCAATAGAGTATTGGTTATTTGTTTGAGAAATGCTTCAAGTCATCTTTAGGTCCTTTGAGGTGCTGAATTTGCCAAGTGTCAATAACTCCTGTTTGGCAGGATTATGATTACCAAAACTTCAGTGTTTAACGTACAATTTAGAGAGCATTTTTACTAGTATCATAATAGCAAAAGTAGTGTCAACAAATATTGAACTGATGGGATTGTGATCACTTCAACATTACTAATAGCATATTGGTGGCCATTAGCATATTTGTAAAGTTTCCTAACAGATGGGTACATAACAAAGCTGAGTACAGGGGAATATTATAACAGGATGCTGAAATTTAAAATAAGTTACCTTAATTTCAATTCCTGTTATGATCTATGATTTATCTGATTTCTTACATTTTGGTTGATGAGTTCAATCAATTTAATATACAAACAATACACTTAAAAATGACCCATTGATCTTTTGGGAGATATTGAGATAGGACAATTTCTATTTACTATTAAGATCAGTAAACTTGGATTAAATTATACAAATGTGGGGTGCAGTGCCTGACTTCTGGTGCAGATGGATGCATCTTGCTAGAGCTCTGCAACCCCAGGTGACCCTTAAGCTAATATCAGCACCTTTTGCCGTTCTACCACCATCCAGAGATACCTTGTCTACCTCCCAAGGACCCCTGCAGACACACACCATGGGCCGCAGGAGAAAATACAAGCATGGAGCTGCTGTAGGCCTGATATTCCGCAACCGCACAGAGAGAGGCCTGCCACGTGCTGACGAGCTGCTGCAGTCTGACTCAGACTTTGATATGAGCGAATCAAGACTCATCCCCTGTCACCAGGAAGGACCTGAAGGGGCTTATATGCTAAAATGGCCCCAGAATTATCGAAACACCTCACCCCCATCAATGAGGGCCTTGAGGATCTCACCAAGCGCACTGTTGCGATGGAAGACATAATAGAGGACTACCTCCACTCCTGATAAAGCAATCCGAGACCTACAAGACCAAATGCGCAGACTGGAAGACGCACAAGAAGATCTCCACAATAGGTCTCGAAGAAACATTAGAATCCAAGGCTTACCTGAATCAGTCATGGCTGACATGCTCAATTCAGCACTCTGAGGAATATTTTGCAGTCTACTGCCTGAAGCACCACCCACTGAGTTGCTCGTAGACAACGCTCACAGAGTCTTTCCGAGCACCTTCAGCAATAACAAACAAGCCGTTTGACATCAGAGACGTCATTGTACGTCTAAATTATTTTCACGTTAAGGAGGCCCTGATGAAGGTGGCTATAGATAACCTGCTGCATATGAAAGGACACCAGGTCCAATTTTATCAGGACTTTGCCCCAAGCACACTCCGCAAACTGAGGGAACTAACACCTCTAATGCAAGCTTTCGCAGGGATATCTGCTTAGCCTCTGTAAGAGCTTACACTTAATTGACATTTTGGACTTGTTATGCTATATTATACACATGTGGACTCTAATTACTATTAGATATAGCCAAACAAGCAAAGTTTCTGGCTGTTCATATAGCATATATTATCTGCTTAGCCTACACATAACCTGATACATTGTAAACTTTTTATATTAATTACTTGAATATTCTTTGTATCCATTTTTATCTTGATGACATATGATTCATAGGGATACACTGAACTCAATTGTTTCTCTCCAGTTATCCATTCCTATTAACACACTGTTTAGTAGATTTACCTTTTATCTTATATATAGGGTGAGGTAGAGGCAAAAAATTTCTACAAAAATTCAAAGTTTAAACAAGGAAAATTAGACTTGTGCTACAGATACTCATCACTGAAGTCCCAACAATGTATAGAACTAGTATGCAGTGTATACAGAATACACTATAGTGATCACTATATATAGGATGAGGTT